CGTCCGCTGAGAAAGAGTAGGGGGAGGGTAACTCCCAGCCTCCGTCCCTGGATCTAAACGCGCCAGGCCGCGGGCCTCAGCAGATTTTTTCGCTTTTGTCTGTTTGTGGGCGGAGAGCGTGGGAGTTAATCCGAGCACTTGTTTAATTTTGGGGGAAAATTCAGCGCGCCAGATTAAAAGAATGATTGGGACTCCTGGAACTCAATTACAAAAGAATGGGAACTAAAGAATGAATAGGAACGTATTGAATATCTCTATAGTCAGGATTGGTTCCCCAGAAAATTTCTTGAAATGTAATCAATCCCTTATCTCCATATGAAAATCAGCCTAATTGTCGCTAGTCTTTGGACGCTAAATTTACCACACAATTCTTTGAATGTGGACACTTTGATAAAACAAGTGCTCGGATTAGTCTCGTCCAGCAGCGCGGACAGTTGGTGATCTGTCAGAAGGCTAGGCTGTTGCAGCACACGTTAAAGCAACTGCTACACCATGCAGAAAACTGTTCAAGGCTTTGAGTCTCTGCAACTGAGCATGACCACGCAGGCTCTGACCTCCCTTCCGAGGAGCGCAAGGCAGGGAATCAAGCACCGGTTGTTTCTCGTCTCACAACCTGGTAACCTTGTGCTATGGAGGATCTTCAGCAGCAGATTACAGCAATTCTGCCGAAGCTTGAGCCACCCAAAGTGGCAGAGCTCGTGAGCCGATTGCAAGGGGCAGAAGGCACATTCTGCCAACCGTATATGGAAACATGCGGGCTCTGATTTCGCTATGCCAGAGGCATTCGCAGTTCGCAGTTCTTGGATGAAGTCGCAAAAGCCCTGCATCCATCCCGCTTCACAAGTACCTGGCCTACGCTTTATACAGTGTGTGCTTTTGGCTTGAGACTTGGAGCAGAGGTTCGCACTTGACTCGCATGATGGCTTCCCTGGCTACATGGGCAGCAGCGGTCAGTGGCTCCTTGGGATGAAGGTCAGCTTCCTGTGCTGGCTGCATGTCAGATTTCCCTTAAGGCAGCGATGCAGATGGGAAGATCAAGTTGTCTGAAGATGCTCGAAGCCTAGTGGAAAGAAGACGTCTGTGCCGCAGCGGGATTTTGGAGCGCTCCGTGTTTCTGAGTTTGGGAAAGAGTAGTGCATGTGATGCACGTAGCCGCGTTGGTCTGCTGCTTAGAGTTTCCAAGGATGTGGGTGCTTTCTGTACAGGCACGGTCATTCTTCACAACCTCGGCAGCCGAGCTCTCGCTGAGGCCTCGCATGTGCATGAGATGCTACCAGACTTTGTTCTGGCCGGGCAGGCTCATGGATGTCGCTCCGAAAGACCTGAGTCAGATTGCCACGGCCATGGCCACCATCGGCATGACAGAGGTGGATCCGGTATTCTATAGAGAACATATTTGCATTTTCTGGTGATCAGAGAAGGAACGCTTCTTTGCCTCTTTGGCTCGGGCATCCGTGGCTCGATGCGAGCGCTTCAGCGTGGAGGCCAAAGTCCATGTGCAAACTTCATTTGCTTGGTGTGTTTCAGCTACTTCAAGCCATTGTGTGTGTGTGTGTGTGTGCGTCAGGAGATTCTGATGGTCTGTGTAGCCTTCGACAAGGCCCAGCTCGCACCGAGACGATGCTTCGCTACTCCTCAGCTGAGCAGAGATATTTGCAGGCAGGTATGGTCCACATCCCACTTCTGGAAGCGGCTGGCAAATTGCTGCGACTGCAAGTGGCACAGGCGCAACAGATGCAGGCATTTGTAGGTGAAAAGTTCGAGCTCTACAGGCCTTGCTTTCAACTTGATGCCGAGGTGCCTGGTGAGGATTTGTCGAAAGGTTTGCGCAGCCTAGCCACATGCTGTGTGTTTTGCCCAGGAATTCTACTTCATGCTAGAGCACTTGATTTCCAGCATTTTGTCAGCTAGGTTCGCGACCTGGCTCTTGGCAGAGCTGTCGGAGAGTACTTGGCGGAGGGTCCCAAGGCCCTAGAATCATTTGGTATAGTTGTCAATTGGAGTTCTGAATTGCCTGGGCTTAGGGCGGGCTAACTCCAGAAGAGTTTTGCTCGCTTGCTTGGACGTCCGCCGCCCAGCTCAGCACCCCCAGCACCCCAGGGGCCTGGTCGCCTCTTCTCAAAAGAGGTGTGAGATGCTTCACACTGCTTCACAGCAGGTTTGTCAACCTCGGCTTCTATCACGACCAGATGTTCCGAGCCGTTTTCAAAGCATTGGAGGCTTTGGAGATGCAATTGCGATCGCTGCATTTGCTTACTTCGGCACACCTGAAGGATGCCCCTACAATGCCAGGGGACACGTTGCGTTGGCCTCAGACATGCTTTAGCAGAAGCAAACTTGGCATCTTCCAGAAAAGGCAGGTTGCTGGCCATGTACTAGGTGCCAGCTCTACGAGATCCACCTGGCATTGAAGGCTCCAAGCCGCGGCGAACAGAATGGAATTGTGAAGCTCTGAAAGACAGGCCTTCAGGAATGACCTCTACGGCAAGTACGAGCTGGAGGCAGCGCTGGCAGCGCTTCGAGGCGGAAGCAAGTTGCAGCTCCTGGCTCGTCAGGAGTCTGCTGTGCAAAGCCTTCGTGCACACTACAGAAAGCATCGCGGTGGCAAGCCAGACGCTTAGCAAGAAGCCTTTGTTGCATCTATGAGCTGCAGCGTGCTCAGGGTCAGAGATGTGAAGTTGGAGCGCTCTGTGGAGAAGGTCTGCAAGGTTCGGGAGATGCTGGTGCAAATTCTGCCTGATGTCAACAGACTCGAGCTGCAAGTCTGTGAATTGATTGGTGTTTCGGGCTCGAGTGACACAAATGTAGCGCTGCCGAGTAGCCTATTTGTTTGCTACGAAGAAGTGCCATCAACTTCCACGCCCGTGTGATTGGTCTGAAGCTCCTGCGTCTAACATGATGTTCCAAAGAAAAATCTGGTTGACACTTAGGTGACTTAGGAGTTCTTGGCGGCATGTGGATGCTCGTGACACTTGCTGTCTTGGCTCGTGGCGAGCTGTCTGAGCCTGACCCACGCGCGGATCAGGCGGTGGCACTCCTCGCGTTGGCCTCCGCTCGTGAGGCGCAGCTGGACGAAGCAGACCAGAAGTATCTGAAGCAGCTTCAGCGCTGCAGGGAGCATGGTGAAGATTGCTCCTCCGTGGTCAAAGCATTCCAAGAATCCAAAGCTACTTTCAGAGCACTTGAGGACCAAGCGCTCGCGCAGGCGAAACAGGCACTGACCAGACCAGCTCCCAATCCGCCCAATCCACACCCTCTTCGTTCACATGTCTCAAAGCACTCCAAAGCTCCATCGCAGTCCGAGCAGTCCAGCTTGCACCGGCTGATGTTTCTTGCTTTTGGGGTCAGCCTCGTGGTAGCAGCCTTCCTCTCTGGACGGAGACCTGGCTGTCACACCTTCAGATTCTGTTCTGTGCTGTCACCTGCGTATCCTGCGTTCGTTTCACACACAGCTTGTTTATTTGGTAAATTTCAGCACGGTGCAGGCAGAGTTGCTTGGCAGCTTGATATATGCAGCTCGGCTACCATTCAAGTGTGACCATTTCAAGCCGAGGTGGGTCCAGCAAGCGCACCGGGTTATGAAGCAGAAGCAGTGCAACGAAACCACTCCAATCCTGAGCGCAGCGGCGTAGTCACCTCCGTCACAAAATAGCTGTGCGGATGTTGGGGTTGCAGATGCTGGCCCCTGTCAGTTTGTCAGATATCCAACCAGCAAGCTGCTCCCCGTGAGAAAGATTGCTGCAAAGTGCACATTGCGGCGTGGCTTGTGGATTGACGTAGGTGACGTGATGTCAAAAGACTAGCGTGTTGTTGCCTCCTTGCAGGACATCGCTGAATGTCTTCAGAAGGTGGTTAGCGGATCAATTTCAAGGCAACATCAGACCGAGCCGTGAGCCGAGAAGCTGTGAGGCACAGGCAGATCGCTTCAGCAACAGGGATGTTCCTCAGGCTTGGAATGGCGGTGGATATTGCCGTCTCAGCGAAGAGAGGTTCCAGACCAATCGTCTTCATTGAGGCTCACAAAGCCTGCTGCGGCAAGAGAGCCTATGTTTAAGGGTTTGTGTTGAAAGAGGTGGATGGTTCGCACTCTCTGATGAAAACGTTGGGGCCCTCATTGCACCCAGAAAGCTAGCCAAGTGCTGTTGATGCGCTCCCAGGCTCGACCTGACGGGTCCGGCGACATCCCAGATCTCCAGAGCTCTGCTCTCGAAGTCTCTTGAAGAAACTAGTGGTAAGCGTGACCTCATCCTGCCTGAGGTGAGGGGACCTGTCTTGTTGAAGCGGTACCTGTTGCAGAAGCGCCTCAGCACAGCTCTGGGACCAGCATAGGAACTGCGTCTTCTTGATGAGGACAAATCACATCGATATTGACTGATTGACTGTCCTCAATGCAGTGCATCCCCGAATCCCATCATCTAAACGTGTTCTTGTCTGCCAGCTCAAGTACCCCCGCAAATCCCCGCAACACGAAGCGAGCCAAGATGAGCCAAGGCATGGATTCCGAATAGCAGTGCAGCACTCACGGAGACACGGAGACGTGCTTTAGTCACAGCGAAGAACAAATGTTGCTCAGAGGTTGTTCCAGAAGACTTCTGGCGGAGTTTGCCAGACAGCCGAGAGAAACGGGACAGTGTGGGATGCTGTGTAGCATGTATTGATGCGGTGATTTTGATTACATGACGTCCATGATGATGCTAATGCATGGTGAGGACTTCTTGCGAGAGCTGCTGAGAAGTGCGGGCGTGCCATCCAGGCTGTTATAGCGAAGAAAAGGTCCCACAACACTCTGGTTGCATTTTGCTGAAGACCACCTCCATTTCAGTCTTTTCATGGCGCCAGGTTCCTGCGTATTATGGACATGCTGCAGTTGGGACTACGGGAAGGTCATTTGCAAGTTCTCATGGAGGCTGGGCTGTCTATTTGCGTTTCGGTCAAGGAGTCTTGCAAAGCCAAGGCATATTGCGATGCTAGTGGCAGAGAATTTAGTTACCTGGACTTCTGCAACTCGTTTCGTCGTCGAGCTTCCGATGCCGGGCTGCATTGCAGTTTTCCCCGCTTTCCACACGGACGGTGTCTTGGTCTCACCCCTGCTCCATTGAATCAATGTCTGGAACTGCTCCTTTTGTCCAAACATGTCCTCCTTGCTCTTGGCTATTCGCTCCAGACATTGTGTCCTCAGGCTGCCTTGCCTGCATGGATTTCATGCAATGTGGGAGTTGTTGGTGTTGTTCATCTACAGCATCAGGAATCTGGGAGCGGGTTGAGGAGAGTGTGAGCATCCCAGACTTGCAGAGTTCTGCATCTCGCGCTGCCCGTACTCATTTTTGGGATTTCAGGTGCCATGTCTCACAGCCTTCGAGGTACTTTACACGCCTTCCTGCCACTGCTTTCCAATTTCAATTTCCCAGTTCCCAAGATGTCTTGTTCCAAATTGCCAGGCAAGGGAAAGGTCATCCCGCTTGCGAGGCAAGCCCCACTCTCTGCGAGGCCTTGACGTATAGCACTCATTTTTGTACATTTTTAGCTGCCGGCTAGTACAGCTCACAGCTGGTAAAAAGCTACCTTGGCGCAGTCAGCAGTCATTTTTGGTTTTGGCATTCAAGAGGGGCCTGTCTTGCAAGCTGCCTTGCATACAGCAACCCTGTTGCGTCAATGAAGCTGTGTGGTATGTATGGAGTTTACAAGTTTAGGTCAAAGCCTTGCTTGGTGCAGGTAGTTTTCCCCAGATCAAAGGTGTTTTGCCTAGCGGGTGCAGGCCGAAGACGCGTTGATCGTCTTCTGAAGGGTCCCTTCTGTGGCACCCAACAATTCATTTGCACGTGTTGGAGGAGTGCTGTTGGCGAATAGCCGCTGAGCCAAACTTGGTAGTGTTAGGAATGTCTCACTAGTAACAATCGCCTTGCGTGGAATGCAAGTGTGCTTGGAAAAGGGTCGGCATGCATGTTATATGGATGTGCGTAGCAAGTCCGCTCGGAAACAAAACGCATCGCAGGCACCTGGTGCGGCAGCGGTCCTCTTCGTTTATCACATTTTTTTTGTGAATCTACTCGCCTCCTTTTACCAGTGCAGCGCCCAGTCTCTTCAGCTCTGCAAGGGTTGGCCGATAGCCGATTCTGTGCTTTGGCGGAGGTGTGTCATGACTGATCCGGGTGTAGTGCCTCCAAACTGGGGCTTCTACATGGGTGATGAGACCAAACGAAGAAGGCCGGTGACAGCTCTTGATTGCGCTAGCTATTCGAGCTGCCATCCGATGTTGCAGTGAAGACTCCCAAGATGCTGCACTTGAGTAGCTCCATGCGAGAGGTATTGCAAAATGTGCAACGCATGCACCTCAGAGCTGTGACGCCCACCAGGGATTTCTGATCTCAACTGCGAAGCACAAAGATGAACCTTGCAGGTCTGGAAGCCTGACCGGACGCACCATTGCGACTCAGCTGCAAATTCTCAAGTGCAGAGAGTCACGATTCCTTGCGCTATGTTCAGCCAGCGCTGAGGCAGTATTTGCAACCGCTGCATCCTGAACATGGACTGNNCTGCCCCCCCCCCCCCCCTCCTCAGAATGAATCAGACGATGAAGCAGATGCAGTGCGAAGGTGACTGCTGTCTGTCGGAAACCTCCGTCAGGCTGTTGCACGGGATTCCGCGTCGGCCCAATGGAGCAGCAAATCAAGAAGTGTCAGCAGTCATCACAACACTCACAACACCATGTATATGAAGCCGTAGGTTTTGTAGATCCTGCCAGATTACCTGAGCACAACTGCTTCCCAATAATGATTTCAAATCAAATTGTTCCTGCCAGAAAAGCCATGGATTATGTCCATGCTGGAGTCAGATTATGCTGAGAGCTCAGCACCCATCCCCATGGCATGCTTCTAGGAATTCAGCGTGCAACAACAGATTGGGCGAATCTTCTGTGGAGGATTTTGTTCGAGACCGTTTCGGCGAGCCGGTTGTGCCCTTTGATGTCATGCACCTACAGGGGCTGATAGGTTGCAAACACAATGACACGGCTGAAAGATTAATAGTCCGATCTGCACACTGGGTGCAGGGGGGTCATGTGAATTCCTACTTCAAGAAAAGTGGTGGCTTAGGTGGGTACCGGCCAGTCGAAGCAGGACCTCGTGGAGCTAGCAGAGAGATGGCGCGCCCAGCTGCAGCATTGATGGTCTCAGAATTGGAAAAAAACGTGCGTGATGGCAACAGGCAAGGAATGCAACATGCTGTAGGCTTGATGCTCACCCCTGGGCCCGCCGGGCAGCTGATCATCACCGGAAAGAGGCGCCAAGAGAGAGCTGAGCGAGGCATAGAAACATCGCTTACGTTTACATGACTCCATGCGATTTGCTAGGCCCGAGCGCGGATTGAAGTGTTCTGCCTGCCTGTTTGGAGAAGTGCCGCTTAATGACTGTAAAGGGTACAAGGGCGCGCAGGCAATCACAGGCTTCTCTGCATTGTCAATATGCTCCGGCAATGTGTCACTTGCGACGGGTGGGCGACAGTAAAGCTGAAGGTAGGCCAGAAGCAGACTTGTTGAAGCAGCTGCTCAACAGTCAGGATTCCAGCTTTTGCAGTGGCTCTGCGGTGGTTTCACTTGTTGAACATGCATACTTTCGGTTGATGTAAAGCAAAGCGGCAGGGCTGGTCATTGCATCGATGTCCTTTTGGTTTGCTCCATCTTTAGGCCCCCAGCCTTCAACAAATGATCCAGACAAAAAACGAGCAAACCAGCGGACAGATTCTGTGCTTTAAGGACTTGCAAGCCGCCTCCCAGAAAGATTGGCAAGACTTGCTGTCCTCCAAAAATGAGTAGAGCCCATTCCTGAAGCTCCGAAGACACATGAAGACATATCAGAGAAACAGACTCCCCAGACCGAAAAGAGAACCAATCAGGCTCTTGGAGAACTGTGATAGCTGATAGCCCTGTGCAAGGCAAGAGGCAGTTCCGCAACCCCACGATGAAACAAGCAAGCTCGGCTACTTGTGCTAGATATGAGCTCGAGCCGTTTTCGTGTTGCAAAGTCGGCTAACCTGAGGCCGCTTCTCGGCCATACTTGCTGGAAAGGTGCATTCGACACGCTTGCACCGTTGCACTCTGACTGCAAGAGAGGCAAGTTGTTTGCCCGAGGCACCTGAACCCACTGCTGACAAAACAAGGCCGTTTTGATGCTGTCTTCTGCCAGCTGCATCTGAATTTCCCAGCTTGTTGCAGGTCTGTGCGGCCCCCCCCTTCGCCACACGAGGGTGACTGCAGAGCCCTGACACGCAAGCAGCGCTGGATGGCCTGTTGCTCTCCGACAAACTGCAAGCTTTAGGATAAACATATGTCAGGTGCAGGGAGAAAACAGCAAGCTGTTCAGCCAAGGCCTTCTAAATGTGAGGGACGAAGGGGGCTGGCAGGGGCCTTTTTTCTCATCAGGTCTTGCAAGAGGAGACCGGTACTTGTTGTCGAGGCGTGAGGGCTGAGGGGATGCTTCTGTTCGCGAGTCCCAACCTGTTACTGTAAGCAGGAAAGTGTCCGCGCCAAGCTCCTTGCTGTTGTCGTAGCTCCACAGCTGACGACACCCTCGGAGGCCACTGGAGCTAATGCATAGCATCGGTCTCTTGGCTGTGCACACCAGAGGTGCAGGGCTTGAAAGAGTGCTTGGAGTCCATAGCTGCTCAGACAAAGCTGCCCACAGCGTGGTGCGCCCAGGAAGGTAGATTGATGGTTTGTCAGCAGTGCCCACGGCTATATTAAAGATGGCCACGGCCATTTCCTCAGGTTGTGGGTGTGCTGGTACACCGCCAGTTTCGACATAAAGCTGGCGGTTTCGCAATCATTTGATGAGCTGATGCCAAGGCACAGTCGGAGCGAGTGGTAGTAGCCATGTGGACATCAGTTTCAGTCGAAGCCAGTGCAGCGCGTCTCTCTTTTCCAGGTTTAGCCGGAAAGGCACGCCTCTGACTCAAATGCAGCACTGCTCTTGGTTGGAGCACATGTTACGACGCAGTATCATGGCCAGTCACCACACGTGCAAGCTATGGGAATTTGGCATGAATTTGACAATACGCCTGGAGCCTTCTCAGGCTTTCCAACCCAGCTGCCCAGCTTGGCAGCCGTAGGGGCTAAACGTGTCTCAATGCAAACAAAAAAGTTCGTGGAGGCGAGCCGGGCTGGGCGGCCGACATGGGCAAACACGTTCGTCATTTTCATGCTATTTATAATCTTCGTACCTATTTCGCAACTTATTTGCCAGCTCTAAGATGAAGGGAAACATCCATTGCATGCAAAGAAGCCAAGAAACATGAAGTCTCAGCTTCGGGGAAGCCACGTCGTAGGCAATCAATCCAGAGAAAGAAGTCCAGTGCCTCGCCGACATATCATGACGCTAGCCATGGCCTGAGCCAAGAAATGCAGCCTGTGCCAGAATCCAGGCCCATCGCTCCTTTGTCCAAATCAACTGCAAGTGATTTCTTGCCCGTTCGCCTGCGGCTGATCGGTATGTCAAGACATGTCTGTGGCCAGCCGGCTAGGCCAACCTTTGTGCGATTGAGGATCTTGAAGGCCCGTCATGGGCGTCCAGAAAAGGAAGAGTGTTCCTCCAAATGCCGAAGCCCACCAGCCATACTTGCCAGGCCCCGACCTTTCTGAGCATGATGTGCGCTAACAGCGGTGCGCTGATAACCATGAGTTTGGGCTGCTTCGTTTCTGCCAGTTCGCTCTATCCGTCTATCCCGCACCTCACCCGTCGATTATGGCCAAACATGTGAAAGCGCATGGGCATCCCTTTCCAACATCGCTGGTGCTGACGTCGACGCTGGCATGGAAGTAGATTGCAGCTGTGTGTGCCTTACTTGCCAAATGGTAAAAAAAGGCCCTCAGCCACTTCGTGGTAATGTCCCGACAAATGGCCCCTTTAAATGTGAAGTTAAGCGCTTTTTTGTCTTGCGTGCTTGCTCAGCTTAGCCTTGGCTTTGTGGTTTCAAGTTGCAATCCATTGGACAGGCATCAGTGTATATCACCTTTGTGTGGCGACTTTTTACAGGATTGCCTTTGGGGCGGGAGGTGGAAGTCAGCCGTGTGCCAAGACATGCCAAGAGGTGGCCAGAGCCTCGAGCCATCGACCTTCCGACTACTTGAGGCTGACTTAGCAGCAGTGAAGAACTCAAAAACCGCGTCTGCCACACTGTCGCGCAATGACGCCAAGTTTCGTATGAATCCAGACGAGCCAACAAAGCGCGACATTCGGTCAAGGTGCCGTGGAGAAGTTGTGCGCTCTTCCGGGCCTTGATGACTCTATAGAACCGCCTTGCCCGTAGTCACAGGGGGCAAATATCCAGAGCTTCACTGGAATCACTCACCTGACGTGAAGTCTCGGGGGGCTTCTCCTGGCGTCTGGCACAAGAGGGCACAGATTCTTGTTTTCCAGCAGCGCAACAACAAAAACAAGAAAGTTCCGGGCCATTGATCAAGGCCGCCGCAGCAGCAGCCACGGAACCAGGACTGCAGCCACACCTCAGGAGAAAGTCCAAACAAGCTCCATGGAATTCTTCGCGCCAGTCTGTAAGAATCTGTAAGCAGTTTCTGTTGCATATTGCATAATTATACTGACATCCCCAAGAGTAGTTGAGATCATTCTTCATAGGCAGACCCTGAACCTTACACCGTACCCTAAACCATACGAGCTTAAACCTGAAACCCGAACCCTATGACGGCGATAACCTTACCTAGGTCCGCATACCCCTATAGAGCCCACATCCCCACAAATAGGACCTACATACCCCAATTAAGGGTAGTTGGGGATTCTGATTCTGGTATAGCCTATTACCCCTAAAACCGTATGGCCTTAGATTGGCCGGGAAATTGGTAGCCATCTCGTAGCTTGCCTGAAGCACGCCTTTAGGATTTGGGGGGATTCAAAAGTTTAGAGGGCTGAAGGTTTAGCCTTCAGGACTTGGAGTCTGGGATTTAGGGTTTGGATGCTACGCCAAAGGGTTGTCCAAAGACCGTTGTCCCACACTTTGCGCCGACGAAATTCGATAAAGTATAATATGACTTGGCAAAAGGTAGGTGTGTGCAAGCTCCGCGCATGCGGGGCGCAACGAAGGAGCAAAGGTTTGACTGCCGAACTACGGCTCAACCAAGCCATGACGTCAACAGCGAAAATTTCAACAGTCACGATGAATGCGAGCTCCGCACAAGCTCCGCACAAGCTCCGCGCAAAGTGCGCATAGCCGTTGGAAGCCTCGGGCCCATTAGGGCTTCCTGAATGTTAGCGGAAACAGTGAGGAGACGTTCAAGAAGTGGGTGGTTGCCGGCCAGCCGGGCCAAATGCCACAAATGCTTCATAGCAACAGCATGCAACAGCATGCAACAGCCTGCGCTCTTTGTGAGAACCATTCAAAGCCAAACTAAGTGTGCGAAAGCTCTGCACAAGCACGGCGCAAGCCCCCGGCTCGAGATGGATGAATATTGGACAACCTCCCTGGATGAACAGCAACACTTCTCCAGTGTAGGTCTTTACAACTACTAAATTCAACACATCACGTCTGCGACATCGGTGGGGCATAAGTGTCAACAGCAACCGCGCACAAGGCTTCCTAGTGGCTGTCTCAATTAGATGCCTGCAGATGCCTGCTGGTTTGCATGCCTATTGTAATGATGATTTCGCAATTCGAATGCAAGCCTGGACAAAAGCGCGGCTCTGCATGCGTGGGATTCGGTTCGGTGCGGGTAACGGGCAAGCACTGCCGTGGCATTGGGTGGCATGGGGTGCAAATGGTTGGCACTTGGGTGCTTCACTGGGCGCACACCCCGTCGGGAGTCGGTGGGGTCTCCATTGCAGAGAGCGCGCCCATGAGGCTTGATCAATCCCTTGGGCCGTGGAGACAGGTGGAAGCCGCAAGAGCCTTTGCTTACTCAAAACGTTCGTCCAGACAGCTTGGAGCCCAGAGATTCGCTAAAAGCATGCTGACATATGCTGAGGTCCTCAAAGCACGGCAGAGCATGGGAGGTGATGCTGCTAGCTTAGTCTCAGTGACAGCAGGAGGGTGTTGCTGAGGCAAAGCCTAGAGTCTGACAGATAGTATCAGGGTTTGAGGCAAATCTTGAACTCCAGCAGCTGCCTGGAAGTTTGTAGCTTGAATGTGACTTGGGTTGCATTGCTGAGCGGATTTGAGGCACCGCGGTGTAGCATGTGATCGTCAGATCTTCTGGGCAAGAATCGTGCGGTGAGGTTTGTGATATGTGGGTGGCTGTTGTCCAGCCAAGTGAGACTTTGCCTCGGCTTTGGTTCGGCAAGTGCCCGTGAGTTTCGGCGAGCTGCTTTTGCTGTGAGGCTTTGGCACCCTCGACGCTGTCAGCGCATGTGTGAAGAGGCATGGATATGCTTTGTCATTACTTGTGCTGAACACGTTGACTTGCTTGTTATGCAGGCTGCCAAGGTGCCGCAAGACGTCTCCACCTTGTTGCTGAAGCAGGGTGGCTGCTGCAAGACGGACGTTGCAAGCGCTGCTCAGGCTGGGAGTTCAAAGTTCAAGCAAAGCCGCGAAACATTCGCAGAGTGTGAACTGAAGATGACACCTCGTTGGGAAGGTGGAAGAGCTCTTGGTGAATGGAAAGCTTGAGTTTTTGTCAGAAGACGATATGCAGACTACGCCCTCCAGTGTGCTGATGCGAGTGGCTGCTATGGCAAGCTTTCTCGCATCAACTCCGCCTGAAATGCTGGGTCACGAGCTTTGTGATCTGGCCTTCAATAGCTATGCGTGGACCAGGCCTAGTGCATCTGTTTTAAGCTTAGAGATTCCTTGGTCTTTCTGCTTGCAAAGTGCTGACCTGACATCAAGACTGTCGGAGTTTGCACTCAGCAGAGTCATGGATGTAGAGGCCTACGATGCATCGTTAGAAGAAAGGCGCAGTGCCCTCACGATGCGAAGATCTGCTGGTGACTGGGCCTACACCATCTCTGCTGCCGATTTTGTGCGGTTCATCGCGACATGCAAGTTGGGGGCAGAGGCTCTGTACCTGGTTAGCATGTTTCGCGAAGAAAACGATTCGAGGATACGTGGTCTCCGATGGGATCTCTGGCAAAGCATATGTTTGGGGTGGCAGGTGTCAGAGGATGGTTATGATTGGCTTGAGAAGCAGACGGCCCTTCTTTTGCAAAATGCTGAAGCTTGTCTGGGCCAGTTTGTGGAAGAGCCATTGCAGGAGAGACTCGCGCAGCTTTTACGTGTCGCGAAGCCTTCTGATTCGCGGAGTGCAGTGGAAAAGAAATGGTGGATATGTTGACGGTTCGGCCAGCTTTAAGTTCGCTTTGAAGACAAAGTTGACCTCCAGATTTTTCTGTTTGCAGGATCATCACTGTCCATGGATCAACAATTGCGTCGGCTTCTACAACAGGAAGTTCTTCATTCAGCTTCTTTCTTATGTGCAAACCTTGCAAACTTGTTTAGCACTGCTTCAGTCACCAGAGCTTTGTGCATTCCGTTCCGAGCGGCACCGCGTTGAAATTCTGACGTGTTGCTCGTGCCAGGTATCTCAGTCTTATCATAGTAGTGTTCTTCACCATGCCAGAGATGTATACCAGAAGCTTGGCGGCAGTGGGAGGTAGCTGGACGGAAGTGCAGTCATCCTTTAAAGATCCCTCTGTTTGGTCTTGCACTGCGCTGCAAGGAAGTATGGAACTAACTAGGTTCTGGCCTCAGTATTCGGATGTTAGGAAGCTGTGAAGCTGGAACGGGAGCGCCCGCGCAGAATCTTTCAAGGTCCCCCAACAAGTACGGCGAGTCCACGTACTTCTGTTTGGAGACAGTGTTTCTGACGCTTGCGTGGAGCCGTCGGATTAGAGTTCCCGTGGTGGCAAAGTAGCTTTCATGGTTTGACTTCAACGAATAAACATGAGACCCACATGACGCATCTGGTTCAAGGCGTTTGCAGCCCAAGCTGCTAGCATAGCGTAGATGGTCATGCGAACATTGGCAAGCAGAAGATTGACCAGCCTGCCTGCCCAGAGTCAGACAGGTCTACTAAAGAATTCTGCGACGTGACGTGATGTGTGGCGGTGCGGGATTCACATTTCACTTCTTTTACGCAACATTTGACAACATGCTGGAAGCATAGGGAGCCATGGCTCTTTTGGAGGTCTCCCTTTGGAGCGTAGGTGGAAGGAGCCACGCCTTGCCGCCTTGCCGTGTCTATCTGCGTTTTTGTGGCGAAACAAGTTGAGGTCTGTGAGTAGGAGAACTTCAACACCGTGGGCTTTAACTGCTCTAGACGTATTCAGATGCTTTCTACCTGGAAGCTTGAGCAGGTCCCGATTCTAGCATGAAGAGTCCTCAAGCCGAATACCAGTCCACATGTAGAAGGAAGTGAAGCACAAATTATGACGTCAGAGCTGATATGCGAACAGTATGTCACAATGGCTGCAATCTGGAACGGATGAAATGTGTTGTGAAGAGCCCTGCGCAGATTCTCCAGAAGGGATAGACATTAGTGCGACCGTTTGCAACTAGCTTGCTTTACCTTGCCTGCAGGAAGCTCGGTGCAGTTGAGCTCAGGCACGCGGAATCTACTGCACTCGTTTCACAACTTTCGTCAAGCAAGCCAGTTCTGCTGCACAGGGAGGAGTCCACCGTGAAGGCCCCCAAATCATCTCGTGCTTTCATGAGCTGGTATGTTACATGTTTTTCGAGATGTAGGAAAGTGATGATATGCACAGGAGCTGAAGTATGCCACTGCGGACCTGTTGGAGCTGCCGCCAAAGTGTCATAGACTGCTTTGCGGCGGCGAGATCATGAGCAGTTCTGGCCTTGGTGGTTGGTCAGCATGGCAAGCCAAGCATGCTAGACTGCTAGACATGATTGTCGATCTTTGGCTGTCCAGTTTCTAGTTTCTTGCAGACTGACCAGGTAGCAAGCGCATCAAGCACTACAGCCAGAATGAAGCCGCTTTCGAGGCCCTGATTTCGAACAATTTAGTTGGGCTTTCTTCGATGTTGCCCTGCCGGTCTTGCACCCGCATACAGTGTCTTGAATTTGGACATTGGCGTCGGGCAATAAGTTGGCAATGAGTGGACAACGACAGAGTCATTTATGACGGCTTAAGAGTAAGGATCCTCAACTAGATTCTGATTTAAGAGCCTCCGGTTTAAGCAGTCAAACCCATGCCAGAGGCAGTCAGGCGTCCCGGAAGACCAGCCAGAAAGTCGTGGCGGCAGAAGTCACGAGTCAGAAAGGAAGCAGTTTCGCGCAGGCGAAAAAATCCAAGATGCAGCATTATGCAGTTTCATTTTCGGAAAATTGTTGTGTCGGATTCGTGGACGGCACGAGACCAACCGTCGCAAGCCATGTCGATATCGGAGAGAAATCTATTTTGGACGTGCGATGTCGGCGGCGCAGTATTGTGTTGGGGTTACACGATGTTGCCTCCGGGCCCAGGCCCCCAAGAAGGCTTGTCTGCTTCGCAGGAAAACGCAGCCTGGCCCGTGTCTTAGGGTTTTTGCCCTCTTCCATCTCCTCTGATCATCCAACATGACCCCAAATTCAAAGGAAGGGAGTACGCGTGCTCAGGAGTTCAGGAATATTTGAGGCCCACAAATGCTTTGCATAGCCTGAGTCCAGGAGCTGGGGAACCTCCAGTGCCAAGACTCCTGAAAGCAAAGCCGATCCATCTTTATTGCCGCTTGCAGCTCACAGGGTTACAAATGCCATACGCGCACTCAAGTATGAGACAAGGCAGTTTCCCAAATGCGCTACACCTCCACAGCCCATGTTTCGGCATGGGTGGCAAAATCGGTTGGCAAGCCAAAACTTGAACCATTTGCAAACGACGGGTAACAGGCCCACGATAACCCCCTCCAACCCCAAAAAGGATTTTGCTACTGGCGCATGAAAGTCATGAAATCATCACACAGGTCGTGGGGCGAAGATGGGTCAAGCTCTCTGTAAAAGGATGTTCCGGAAGCAGAGTTGTCCAGGGAGAAGGAATGGCAGAGAAAACTCTTGTTTGGCCACGGTCTCTTGCAGGCAGGAACGACTTGCTGCTACCGCTCAACATCTTTTCGCACACTCGTAGGAAACGCCATGTTTGTGATGTCATCGGGAAACGTCACCACAGGGCGTACGCACACAGACCAAGCTGTCCTCATTACAGCTGTTTGCTAGGTCACTGTCGTCATCTCGCATGAGCTGATATACAAGCGTATGTGGGATCCTTGTGGTGAAGTGAGGCAGGCCAGCAATATTTGCCCATCGCGTCCTCAGCTCAAAGAACTCTTCAGGCAAGCCGCCCTCAATACCCTGGGACGGGCTGCGGAGCCTGGTTCCAAGGTGGCAGCCGGCATGACCCAAATAGATGGCCCCATGCATTGCAGCGATTGCAGCGCAGGCGGCAATTGAAGCAGTATGCCAATGCCTGGGCGACTGCAGCGGAGAGGCCTGGTCTTGTTCTTATTTGATGCATGTTTCACGTCGATCAGCGCAAGCATGCTTCATCACGGGCTTTCAACCCTTTTGGTGCCCTGATCGCCTGGATGGACTCTGACTTGCGAGTACAAAACCGTGTTTTTAAATTCAAGGGCAAGCAGGAGGTGAGACAGCCTTGGAACGCTCGACGATGTGCAGCAGCACCTCTTAGATGTCATCCTCTGTGGACAAATGGAAATGATAAACACCCTCAACGTAGCCATACGGTCTGGTCGAGTTGGACAGGCTGAGAGTCCTTTGCAGCACTTGCAGCCTCAGCTCTTTCATGTACACAGGGACAAGCAGTCTGGCAGTCTCTGGTATGACGTGTGCCGCCTTCTGAGCCGCTCCATTCCATTGTGGGATCCCCCATGGTCGGGCAAGTCATCTCAGCTATTTCACTGATCAAATCCACATGGAACCGTGAAACCATTTGTTCCAAATCCCAGCAACCCATGTTGCTTCAGAATAGCAGGTATGAAGATTTTCTGAACGTGTTTGGCAGGTCCGGCGTGTTGCTCTGAAGACTTTGTCCTGCATAGCTGAAGATGGCAATGAGCAGGCCCGAGGCCAAATGCAGTGACACACCAGGTCTCGGTCAGTCCGGTTCCGCATTCGCTCTGAAGGCGATTCATCTTATGTGCCATGACGTGGCGCATGGTGATCTCTTCACGAAGGCGGGACCCATCGAAGAGTTTTTTATCGAGCCTTCTCTATCCAGCCCAGCCTTTGCTTCAGAACCTGCTGTAACATTAGCAGTTTGTGGCCGTAGCTTCTCGAGATCCGTTGGCTCTCTTGCCTTACTGCCATTCACGATGGTGGGCGCTGCCTCGGATCCAAATTGTTTGTCTTCGTGACAGACTTGTCAGACTTTAAGCACTTGGCCCTGTAGGGTCCTGCCGTGCTTTGCGCTGAAGCAGTGCCTTCTTCCAGTTGTGCTGTCGGTAGTGCCTCGGAAATGACTCAATTTTGGTGACACTTGAAGAAAACGTCACATTGACTGCTTGGAGCGATGACATTGCCACATGCGGGACGTGGTGGACTTGTTGATACTTGTTGACTGTGCGACAGCATGATCCATCTTTGGAAAGAGTTCAGGATGCCGCAGCAATGGCGTAGTTTTACGATTGTAGCCGTATGGCCAAAGCCGGGCGTATCGGACGATACCCAGACAAAAACTGTAAGTAGAAGCACAAATAGCAAAGCCCGGGCTGACTGATTGACCATTACGGAGAAGCAGCAGAGGGCTGGACATGACGCCCAGCATGACCGCTTTGCCAAAACTGGTGTAGGCAGCATCTGCATCGCCCAGCATGCTTAAAAGGCCTTGAAACAATTAACAAGCGAGCAGCTGATACATGAACGACAGGCGACTGCCATCAAGGGCCTGATGAAGGTTGCTGGCGCAGGCCTGCAAAATGTGTGTGTGTGTGTGTGTGTGTGTGTTTAAGTGTGTGCCATCTACTCGGAGCCTCCGCTGGCACAGTGGAGGTCATCAGCAGCTTGTTGCCAGCGTCCTTGACCTTGTGGGAAGCAGGCAAGCAGCATCAAGGCTGGTAGTGGGGGCATACGCGTTTGGCATGGCAGAGATCTGCTGATCAAAGCCACATCGTTCGAGGCGACTCGCAATGGAGTCTTTGCCGCAGGCTGGAAGTTTGGGGATGTTTGGACTGTTTGGTCATTGCGTTGACTACGTCATTGCCTGCTGTTGGGCAGCGTATTTGAGATTGCCAGTTGGCCCCCTGATCCGAGCCCACTGCCAGGTTGCGATGCCTGGCAATGCCAGGGCAATCAAGGCAGCTTGCGCATTGCTGCGAGATGAGGATGCCAAAGTCAGGCCAGCGGTGCAGCGATGCCCAGATCTTGAGCCTTTGCTTTTTGTGTTGAACTCGGAGTCAACATGGGCCAGGCAGCTAGCGGCACAAGCTCTGGGCCAGCTAGCTGCGAGGGGTGATCCTGAAGCGGTGGAAGTGCTACTGGCTACGCTTCAGGCACCCATTGACAGAGATGGATAGTTGGATATAGTGACGTGGCAGTTTATGTCTGAGCTGTGATGTGATCAGAGGCTGTCTGCTTTCCGCAGGATCAAGACAAGCTGACCCGGCGCCATGCTGCCATCGCATTAGGCCATGTTGCCACAGAGGACACGGTGCGCACGGGAAGCCATTTACGGACCCATTGCTACTGACATTGAGCTGACTGCAAGGACGATGGAAAGGCTGGCTGTGATGGTTCCGTCAAGCGCGAAAGAGCAGGTTGCGTAACGGAATGAGCCCGGCTTTGCAGGCCCTGGCGGTACTTGATGCACTTTCTGCTGACGCTGGTCTCAGGCTGCGTTCATGCCGGAGGTGGGTACAATAGGTGTAAGACGAACTGCAGCTCTTCTGGGAGGCGTGTGGCCTCCACTGCGAGAGATGAGATACTTTGCTGGGCGCGTTGTTAACAGTAAGTCTAGAAGTCATCGCGCGGTATCGCGAGAGATGGCTTCAGAGTCTTGCTGTTGTCTATTCATTAGCTTGGGAACTCTGAGAGTTGGCCAAGCGAGTTTGAATGCTCATTGACTCATTGACCTTAGTTGTCCTGTCTGTGGCCACCCCAAAGAGGCTCTCGGCTGCTGTTGGCGGGACATGTCCCAGATATCGAAAGCAAAAAGAGGAAGCCGCAAGACCAAAACTATCATTGAAAGCCGCCAAGGAAAGTTCCAGTTTCAAAGCCAGCTCGTGGCAGGTTTTGCATGGCAACCCTCTTGATTTGCACGCTCACGAACTTCATAAAGCTGCTTGACAAGAGGTTTTAGAGGCAACCCGATTGTGTTTTCATGATTGGCCCAGGTTTCACATGAAGCTTGTGCTCGAAAACTACACGACAATCGAAAACTTGGAGCGTGAGGCCCTGGCCACGCAGCACAATTTGGAAGCCGTGTCCTCCAAAACATGAAGCTCCAGCGTGCTGTCTTTCATTTGCTGGTCAGGAAGGTGCCAAGAGCAAATTTGACATTGGCCGTCGCAGGACGGCTGGAGGGATTTGGAGGGTCTTGAAAAGGATTGCTACCGGGGGGATCATCAGTGTGGCACCACTTTTTTTTGTTTCAGGAACTGGGAGCAGGTCTTCGGGCAAAATCCTTGGATGTCGCGCTCTGAGACCTTTGGCCTGTGCCCGGTGCATTCATCGTCATCATGCTGGCTCCTGAATAGGTGGTGGCTTCCGCTTCATACGCAGGCAATGAAATGCATTGGCCCACTTCGTCCGCACGTGCTTGAAGCTTGAGAGGCCTCGCGACCTATTGGTGACGGTGTCAGATGGCGAGTTCACTACACAAGAGTCATTGATGAGGCGCACTGCTAACATTGCTACAGCAATGTTGGCAATTGCTGGAGCATCCCCACTTGGCCCGCCCTGTAAGCAGGACGAGGAGCTGCCTGCGGATGAGGAGGGTATGTCGCAAGCAAGCAGATTACTTAACCAGGCCAACTCTGCAGCGCAACGTGCTGTGCACTCCTTGGAGAAAGTGCAGATTCCTGTGATGCAGGGCAATGCCTCCGCGAACAGATCTACAAGGTAGTCGAGGCACAAATTTGGGGTCCAACACCAGCAGAGCAAGAAACAAATAGTATGCTTTGGACAAACTCTAGGATGCCTGGGGTGCTTAGGCCGCACTTATGGGATCTAGAGCCTAGAGCTCAGCATCCTGGACTACAAAACTCATTCACATTTCATGCCTATCGTTGACGCATATAGGAAGTTTCACAACTTCGCACGAGCGGACGCAGTGGGAGGCGCACACCCTTTTGTCTAACCTGGCATCGTGTCGCACCTCGAAGGGTAGTTGAGCAGACGAATTACCGCTCGGATGGCAATCCTTTCAAGCAAAACAAAGTCCTCGTCTATTCTTGTTGTATCAAAGAAGACCTAGAGATCTAGTCGTACCAGGTTAGGCAAAATGGATTTAGTGGTGAACGAGACCCTCGAACAGATTTAGGCAAAATGAATTTAGTGGTGAACGAGACCTTCGAACAGATTTATTGATGAAGGTCGGAGGGCTCAACCTGTGGACTCAAAGGTTGAAGGTCGAGGATTTGCAGTGCATCACTGACGGCGAGCCAGGTGTATGGAGATCTCTTGACTAGGCTAGATTGTACTTCAGAGTTCGAAGTTGAGGGGGTGGTTTTCGGCGGCCGGTGCCGGTGGACGGAGGTCTGGGAAGGTGTAGGAGGAACCAGCTCAGACTTCTTGGCTCACATCTTCAAGGGCCCAGCACCACACAAGTTTCGGTCATCCGGAGGCCTCGAGAGGCCTTTGTGGATCTGGGGAGGGCATTCTGGAGCTTCTGCGGCCCAAACACTCAAACTTCTAGCACTGGGATTGCCAGGCAGAGCCTGGCTCCTTTTCCAGGGCCTCTGAAATTAGGGAGGAGCGTTTCAGATGCTGTTCCCTAAGCGCTCCTGCTTATGCTTCGCATATCTGTAGGTTTCGGCCCATCACAAGCCCTTAAGTGGCCGTGTTTAGCTGGAAGCACGCGTCGGCAATCCGTGCGGCAAAATTTGGGGCAATTGCAAATCTGTGCTGGGTCTATAGACCCTAAGGTTCGAAACATGAATTCCAAACACACTCCCCAACCATGTTTCTGGTCGAGAAGTTGGCTTGAAGTCGGTGAGTTCCATGTGGCAGCTTTCATGTAACGTACATGAATTTGATGAATTTGAAAACGCGATGCGGTGGCTGAAGGAGTGCTGCATCTCGAGCTTGCCTCCAGGCTGCACTGTGAGGTGTAATCGAGAAGGGGCAGATGCATGGGATGAATGTGCTTGGGTGAAGAGCATCTGCATGACTGAATGCAAGCCTTGCAAGCTGTTCAGCCTGGGTCACGGCACGAGAGTGTAGGCAACTTAAACAGGACCATACTTGATCATACTTGATCATTCAAGCATCACCACGCCTGCGTAACACTCCTTTTCTGCCTTGTGCCTTGTGGGGTTCAAACTTTGCAGACCAAGGTTGATCGCGGAATCAGCAATTGCCTGCACCTACAGCGCTGGTAAAAGACCAGCAGCTTGATAAACATGTGTGGAATCGTTCAGTTTGGAAGCTGTTCTGAAGTTGATGCCCAACTATGCGCATAGTATGATTACGTTTCTCATCAGCATTGAAGTTTCACGAATTCAGTCTGCAATCCCGTCACCCCTTCAGAAACCAGGGGGATAGCATCAGTTCCAGTCGACATTTTGATATGGGTGAAGTCAAATTCCTGCTGTATGCAGCTTTTTTTTTGCTACGGCTGTTTCGAAGTCTGGGTTCTATGGTCGACTGGTATTCTTGTACACCAAAGGAGGTTAAGCGTGTTAGATTGCAGGCCATGCGGCAAATACCGACAGCGCCGGTGATACATGCTGTGTCAGGCTGCATCACGATATCGGCAAGGGCTCATGTCTACTGACATCATCCTGCTGTTTTGCAGCCCTTTCGGGCATGAGCTGTGATACGTGTAGCAGGGTTGGCAAGCTAATTGGTCCCTTTGCTCCACCCCCAGCCCCAAACCCCCAACCACCCGCACGACAAAGCGCACCCTTCAGGAGAACGCTTTTCCCTATGTCTAGAACTTGTATTTTGCTAGCAGGGTGACTTGATTGTCCGTGCACGGACGAGCGCCATTACCACTTCAGACACTAGAGGTGTACTGCCCATGGACTTGACCGGGTAGCCACAAATTGCATCTTGTACGAGTCAGCACAACAAGCTAGCTGCAAAACATTGCTTGCCACATGGATGCGAACCTCTCAGCAGACGCTGTGCAGCTATGCGGCATACCGGGCAGGTCAGCACGGTTAGAGTGAAAAGTCAGATGAGAAGTAAGGTGCTTCGTGCATGCATTCAGGCCAGTGCCAAGCAAGGGACTCCCTGTTTTCGCTAGGGCCCTGGCAAGTGTTGATTGCAGGAATGAATGCCTGCAGCTTGCCTGAGGGACCAAACCTGGTGGTGGATCTCGATCATCTGCACAGAAGGAGCGTCAGCGGTAGCCTGTTTTTCATTCATTCGTTCATCCGTTGTTTCATGAACTCCGTTGGTTTTTGCCGATCTTGACAGATGGCACCGGGCCACGCAGAAGCTTCGACCTCTCCGACTAGGCATGACCCTGAAAGCACAAGCCACTCCGTCTCCAAGCCCAAAGCACAGGTGTTGGAGCAAACTCCCTCGACAGCTGTCTGTTTGTCAACAGCCAGGTCTTCCATGCTTCAACCTTATCCAGATCAGTCCACTATGACGGTTCATTCGGCCGCTCACCTTCCAAGAGTGCAGGCCCTCCTTTGGCCATAAAGAGGGACAGCCCATTGCATGCAAGTCAAATGGGACACACAAAGTCTTGCAGACTGCGCAGGATGCTTCGAATCACAGCGGCGCAGGCTGGCTCAACGCGGAGTGGCCTGGCTAGTATTTCAGCGACTAACCCTTGAAGAGGCCGTGCGGAGGATGGTGGGGCCGCGTACTTACGCTGCCGATACAACTCCTTGCCACCAAAACTGCCTTCCAAATAGAAGGCCTCCCCGCGAAGCCGCTTGCGCAACTGGTTGACTGAGCGGATCCAGACAGCGCCCCTCTCAACAGTGTTGGTGCCTTTTGTGCTGCAAGCTCTCCACACCAGCCAGGTGCAGCTGGAGATAGCCCACCTTCAACATGTCAGGCCGGAGATGCGTTTTTCCATGTTTGTTGTGCAGCGCAAGAAGCTTCAAGAGGCTGCGGAGATCTTCTTCAGTCAAGCCAGCCGACAAGAAGCCGAAGGCAGCAACACATTTTTAGTGTGGCAGCAGGATTCGGATTGCGTCTAGGCTTACAGGACTGGCTCATTGTCACCATTGCGGACCCAGCGGCTGCCTTTGGATCTGTCATTCGCTTCTCTTGCCCAGTGCTGTATGCTCCGCTTCAAGCCAAGTGGGGAAGCTTCTTCACATGCTGTCTGAGGCCAGCTGTCCACCCACAAAGTGCAAGGCAAAGGGTTGACAAAGAGACGCGCAGCGAAGCCATCTGCTTGGGTGATGAAGGGGCAAACAGGTGTGTCCAGGGTGCTGCAGTACCATAGCTGTGAGTATACCTGAAGTTGCCTAAACCTGTTCCGTGTCCTGTCACATCAGAGAAGTTTCCTCACCGTATCATGGCAGGGATAGCAGGAAGCCAGAGCCGCGCAGAAGGCCTTCAATGCGCAATGGAGCTGCGCAGGGCGTCGACCACAAAGATTTGTTGTGGTTCTCATTGCTTGCAGGGCGCCGGTATCAGCCGTGGCCTTGTGCTCGACTTCGCTTTTACGCAGAGCAGTTTCTCGGAATATGTGAGTTTGGCTAAGGTTTCCTCCAAGGGATCTGCCAGGCCTGCAGCCGCCCCGCCTCCTGCGCCGGCCAGGAACTCAAAAGCCTTGACATATCTTCACATTAAGATGTGTGTCGTTGACCCACTTGACCCCATCGCATCGAGCAAGAACAAGTCTCCACGGTAGCCCTACGTTTCGTCGGGCTTTCATGCGAATGCTGTCTGCTGTGATTCGCAAAAGCATTACGTGGAACTTCAGAGCATTGCGTACAACTGTTGAACAAGGCGTCGTAATAAGTTCTTGTCATGGGTCCTTCCAGATGTTGATCCTGAGGCAAGGCAGGTATTTTCGTGAAGTCATGTTTTATTGAGCTTTTCTCTTTGTGATTTGCCTGTGATCACGATTGTTCTGCCGAAATGGCTGTGACATTTGTTGCCGGTCTTGATCTTTGTTAATACTACAAGTAGCATCTGCAAGATTTTTTTTGTGCGAAAGAAGAGCGGGCTGTGCCTAAGCCGGAATGTCTGGAAACCTGAGCAATCAGGCGCTCAGAGTTGGCGTGGAGCCTTGGGAAGGCATCTGACCGGGGAGAACGCAGACGCGGAGCACCAACTGTTTGGTAGAGATTTGGTGACTTACAATTTGGATTTCAATATCTTGAGGGAGCCTTGGAGTAGGATAGCCGTTTTGAAGCTAATGACATTATACAACGATCACGGCTCCTAACTAATGCCTTTCGGGGGCCCCGTACGGGGGGTCAGCCAAGGCATTAACATGCCTTCCCTCCCCCCCTCCCCCCGCCAATGCCTTGCCCGCTCCCCCCCATAAATGGTTGATAACGCGTGAGTGTAAATGCATGATCCAGCTTATTGAAGATTAGCGCTCGTTAGAGAAAACATTTGGCCAGGATAGGCAATGACTATGA